TTTTTTTTCAAATTTAAAATAAGTTTTCTCTATTTTAATATATTTTAAAATGTCATTTATTTTTGTGATGGTCATTACTCCAGTCTTCATTGTCACATGATCCTTCAGAAATCATTTTAAATTTGGTGATTAATTGTGGTGCTTAGTATTTTTATGGAAACCATGATTTTTTTAGGATTCTTTCATGAAGATAAAGTTCGAAAGCACAGCATCTATTTGAAATTGAAACCTTTTGTAACAATGTAAATGTCTTTACATCTCTTACTGACCCCAGACATTTGAATGGTAGTGCATATGTTCGGTAGTTTCAATTTTCATTTCACATAGACTTACATTTTAAATGACACCTGTGTTTACAGAAATTCACATACATTTGCACAATAATGAACAAAAGATACAAAGACCACTTATGCTTATTTTGCCCACACATCACTGCCAGGCCACGCTTCATTTAGACCAGGGGTGTCAAACTCAATTCCTGGAGGGCCAGAGCCATGCAGAGTTTAGATTCAACCCTAATAAACACACCTGATCCAACTAATCAAGTCCTTCAGGCTTATTTGAAAACTACATTGTATGTGTTTTGGAGCAGGGTTGGAACAAAAATCTGCAGGGCTCCGGCCCTCCAGGAATTGAGTTTGACACCCCTGATTTAGATGATCAACAGCGTGGTGCTAATGCACAAGAATGAAGGTTTGATTTACAGTGCGGCAGCAGATCACATCGCCCTCACAAATGCAACCTCAAAAATCAATCTCCGATTGGACGACACGCATGACCTCATCTCCATTCAACACTCCAGACTGCTTGAAGCCATCTCAGCAGATTTTTTTTAATGATATCATCTGAATTCCCTTTTCTTGATCCTTCCATCTCCTGTTCTCCTCTCTTCAGCAGCTGTCATTCTTCTGTGCAACTACACCATACTAGGAGAAACCACACCCTGACGAAGAAAACCTATACGAAACAGTCCTGTGAATGTAGATCCAAAGGCACCCTTAAAATGCTGACTAGTGCTGGGCGGTATACCGGTTCATACCGAATACCGGTGTTTATTTTTGTTATGATATGAATTTTTAAAATACCGCAATAGTACGTGATGACACAGAAGAACTCATCCACAATATCCACATTGACCGCCACAAATATCCACCACCCCCTGCCATCAGCTCCCGCGTCTCACACAAACCTAGCGACTTTTTTGGATAAACCTTAGCTATGGTTCAGTTGGAAGATTTGGCCAGTGCTGTCCCGCGAACGCGAGGTCTGACTTTCCCGGAGAAGTGTCACCTCTCTCGGCGTCTGTTCGGTGCAGTGAGCGGCAGAGAAGCACTGCATTCAGTTGGCCGCATCGCAGCCGACTTGTCAATAAATGAGTACAAAACAGCGTTTCCTAGCACCTGTCGCTTACTGATTGTTTGGAATTATAAATATGAGCGTAGTTCGCCTGTTAATATCACATGCACTTTTTTGTTTTTTGTTTTTTTTTAGTTTGTTACTCAGACGCAGGCAGCACGCTGCATGAGACAAAAAAGTAATATAGCCAAAACAACCACATAGCTGCTCTTTAGTGTAGATTAGGGCTGCATGATAAATCGCATGCGATATTTAACGCACATCTTGTCCGAAAAGCCGGTTCTGTAATCAGCGGTAAGTCTCCATCACCTGCGGGCTTTCACATTGAGCAGCATTAACTACACAGAGCCGTTGTTCACTGACGAGCTGCGCAAA